CTAGCGATTTGTTACATGGGTTCCAGATCAGTTAACTGACATTTTTCTGAAAATAAGCGTCCAGAATTGTTTTTTGTGGTTGTGGGATTTCCTATCGGCTTCTACTTACACCTCATCGGTTTGAATTCCACATGACTTTATACATTAAAAAAGCAAATTACCTAAATAAGGTTTTTCAGACCTGTTGTTTAGTGCCAATCGTATCGTCTGTTCATTTAAATGCCTTGACCTTAAAACCTTCTTTTCCCACTAGTCCAGTATTAGAGGTGATTTTGTGATGTAGTGCTGATGTGATGGTAGTGTATTCATTCATATCTAATCCCACAAACTGTTCGTTTAGTTGTCTTAGCTAATTGTTGGGCAGTTAGAAGCTCACCCTCCTCCTAAATCCACCTTACACTCGAACCTTCATCGGTTAGAATCTAACTAACTTTGACTAACTTTCCACAGCTGCACTTCGGAAAGGCTACAACAACTGGGACGAAACCAATCGAATTTCGTGATGGCGTCATCTATCCCGCCAAGTCGATAAACCCACCACCCACTGAACGTGTCATGGACATGATCGCGAACGATCCGGATCTAAAGTGAGTAAATCCCTTTCTCACTTGAGCGTACTTATTTCTATTTCGCCGATAACTGTCCACTACGGTGCTCCTGGTATTTTTTTAAGCTAAAGCTTTGACTTTTCAGGGTCTATGATGGGAGCTGCCAAATGCAAATTTGGAAGGAAACTTTGTTTATGCTAGCCGAAGTCTAAATATAAGCAGCATAATGCTAGGGCAGAGGTGATTTGCTCCTCCGAGATCTCACTCCTTTGGAGTCAAATTACTTACATGAACAGCCATGGGTTCTTGGAATTTAGACTGATTACGAAATGAAATCGTATTCGGCCTATCAGAGACAGCCGTCAAAAGACATCATGCATAAAAAGGAAGAAATACTTTCATTAATGAATAATGAATGGGTGAAATTACGGACGATCTTTGACCTTTTAATTGTTAACAGTTGGCCGGAGCACAGTTAAATTCAAAGATATGGCAACCGAACTTCCTTGCTTTACATGTTCATACACTGATCTTCGTAAAATGCAACAGTCTACTGTAGCTTCGTGCAAATTGGCGGTAGGTCCTGCCAAGCAGGCCACTGTGATCAATCCCTTAACGAGCCTCGCGCCTGTATGTATGGAAGAAGAGAGCATAAGGACGACATGGTGGTACAGCATTCCTCACTAATAATCAAGTCGACATGTTAAAGTCATGGCCTGGCTGATAAAGTACCTCTTCCTCCTCCTCCTCCTCT